CTCTCCACAGAGGGTAGCTGTCCTGTAAACGCATGAAACAACATTAAGAGAGCTGATATTGTAGAGTGTTGTGATCGTGTTATGTATCTGACTAATTATGACATACGCTGGACTTTATTCATCAAAGTTGCATAAAAAGGGGGCAGGCTTGACCACCTTTAATGATGCTGCCCTGCGTCTGATTCATGAAACTTTTTTTCCGACATGGAAACGAGTGGAAATTCGGGCACAACCAGCTTAAGCGCGTGAAATCAAGTGCCAGCCTGCCAGCACCTAATTTACATATCATTTACATGAAGCACACCCCAATTCGTGCAGAGCCACAAAACATAGCATTCAGCAGCTTGTGAGCCAATGGCTGCACTCGGAGGCGGAGTTTGAGGTCGCTTGGTGGAGGTCGCGTGGTTAGTTTTGTTTTTTTACCTATTTTCCTTCGACTTTCTCATTCATTCATTGGAATAATAACCTTTACATGCTCCTAAGAAAGAAACTGAACACAGTGGCAGCTTTTGCTGCAGCTGTAAATGTTTGGTTTTAGGATTGGAAGGATGGAAGAGTTAAACTGATGGTAGGAGCACAAAAGTAAAGAGTGGACAAGTTAAATGCTGATAGATTTGTGATTATATTTAGTGTCGGAGGTCTTTGTGTGATTTTCTGTTAAATATATAGCCGTGTGCAAAAGTTTAGGCGCCCCAGGTCAAATTCTGTTTTGCTGATTTTGTAAGTGAACGTAAGTTATCACCCCCTCTACGGAGATTTGCTGAATTTAACATATTGGAAAAAAGAAATGTGCACTGTGCAAATATTATGGCACATTCCACATTTTATCTCCAATATCTTAAACCTAACTAAAATAGCCAAAAAAATGTTTTTTAAACTTAGTATTACATAAACGAAAGGGTGGTCCATGTGAACCAGGTGAACTAGGGGGTCTTGGGGTAAGGTGACGTTTGCAGAGAGATTATTTCAGGTTTGATCTGTCCTCTTTAAATATTCTTTTTCCTGCTTGGCTTCTGGATAGTATTTAAAGCCCTTTTTTCTCTGCACCGCTTCACCCACCATCTTCTCCCCTCACTTCCACCCCCCCTGTGGTTCCACACAATATGCCCTGTGACTAACACTCTGCCACTCACAGCAGCTGGCACTGCCAGCCTTCTATTACACACACACATAGGCACAGTGCGCCTCACACCACCCTGTGATTTTAAGCTTGCTGTTAAATCATCTTCACCTAAGCCTCAGTGCACACTACTAGCCCCTTGTTGATTGCACCACACACACTCAGGCACACACACTGCTTATACAAGCTGTGCTACAGTGACCTACGCTAGTCTCCAAATCAGTTCCTGCAGCAGTAGAACACAAAGAACCACCAGCATTGACAGCCTGAATAGCTTTGTGTGCTCTTTTATTAACCCTTTAGTGCTGAGGCAGAAGAGTGTGCTTGCAACTGCTCCTTTAAGACTGATAAATATATATATTGCTTATGTTTTAACAATAGTGTGGCTATGAAAGACGTAAAAGAGACACATCCTACATTTTACGGGTCCTCTAATGACATTACTGTCAGCTTTTATACCAAAAAACAGTGATTCTGATTGGCTGCCCTGGACTATGCCTTATTTAAAGAGCAATCTCTATATATATGTATGTATATATATTCCATGACATCACAAAAACAACAAATTCAAAACAGGAAGGAACATTTAGCTTTCTATGACAAAGACTGGTACATATAAATGACTGTACTTGTGGCTTTGAACATATGCTGAGGTTGTGACATGTTTATGTCGATTTATGCACCAAAAACAGGCTTACGTGACCATTTTTCAACCTCTGTTTACTGCGCCTTTAAGATATATGCAAATGAGCTCTGTTCTGATTGGGCCTCAATCAAAAAGCAGCCCTGATTGAAACACTGAATAGGAGACTGAACAGCAGACTAAATAGGTGGGGCCAAACTGTAGGCCAAATAAGCGTCTATATGTAAATGTGTTCGTTTTTGTGACATCACAAAAGCAGTGAATTCAAAATGGGCTGTTTTTGCAGCTTAGGGTCCATATATGTGCTGTATGCACCAGTGTGTGTTTATGCATGGCATTAAACTCTTTTAAAAAACAAGAAAAATAAGAATTTCCCTGATATGGGCTGTTTAATAACTGTTTAATGTGACTGGTGTCACATTAATTTTGGTATATATTGTAAAGAGCGTCTAACAAAGCTGAAAATGCACAGAAAACACGCGCACAGGAATATACTTCGCACTTTAGCCACCTTTAGCTGTTACTCTGACGAAACATGTCAATAACAGGGCGTTAGAGATTTGGATTCTAAATATTTGTGCATCCAACAATAAAGGCAGCATCCTTCTTCTTTTATATAGTGATAGAAAACAGCACATAGGCAGCTCCGGTTTCACGTACTGATACACCTTACAGCCCAGCACTGATGTGCTCATATTGCAGCTACTCTGGGGCTGATTTTAAGTTCAATGGGACAAAAACAAAGTATTTACAAAGACATTTTAGGTCAGAAAGGGTTAAGATACAGTTCTGAAGGTAAAACACTACTCCACACCCCTCAAATCTACCTTCATTCTAACATTAGAGTCATATCACAAGCATAACAGTACAAATAGGCCTCCACAAGATAAGCACTGCGTGCTAACCTGCCATAAATATCACAAACGTTTATGGTGAATAACCATCCCTGCAGTTGTCGAAGGCAAATGGCACATTTGATTCGCGGCGCAATGACGCACAGTTGTTTTATTGTTTGCATCCATGTGTGAAAGTGTTTGAGCGCTCATACAATAGAGCGCCAGCCGTATTGGAGAGGCTTCTGTGAAGAATCATGACAAATCAATGGCAATTCCAACTGCGAAAGCTAGCCCACATGTACGTCCATAAGTGTTAGACGAAAGTGGATTAGTGCTTGGCAACTCCGGTTGACTGGAGAGGCAGACAGAGGAGAGATGCTGTCGCTGGGGCTGAATTTATGAGCCTGGCGTTCTCCGCTAAAATCATTCTGTCCCAAGAGCCACACCGAAAACGCCACAAGTAGACGTCTTGCCACCAGGCAATTCGTCATCGCTTCCCTGCACTCTATTAGGGTCTAGAGGTAACAATGCTGGCTCCTGTGGATGATTAGGTCTTGTGCAGAGCTGAGCAGGTTGCCACCTTTCCTTTGAGCATCACACCATTTCCACTTTCACAGGTTTGCGAGAACATCACACTGAATGTGAGAGGTTGACTTAGATTTAGGTAGGAATGGGTGAAGAGCTAAGTGGGTCTTCAAGTTGCTTTCTTAAGAATGTGGATGTGCACTTATCAGCAAAATTATGTAATTACTTTTATGTAATTAGTTAAAATATGTATGTGGACACCTGGCCATCACACCTATATGAGCTTGCTGGCGTTCCATTCCAAAACTATGGGCATTGATTTCTGGGAAATCTCTTCTGGGAGGCTTTCCGCAAGATTTTGGAGAGTGTCTGTCGGAATCTGATCACAATCTAGTGGGGTTCAGTGGGGTTGAGGTCAGGGTTCTGTGTGGCCACTGGAGTGCCTCCACACCGAACTCATCAAACCATGTCTTTATGGAGCTGCTGTGTGCACAGGGGGTCAGTCATGCTGGAACAGGAAAGGCTCTTCCCCAAGCTGCTGACACAAAGCTGGAAGTAGATAACTGTGTAAAATGACATCACTGGAACTGAGGGGCTCAAACCCTGAAAAACAGCCCAGCTCATCATCCCTCCTCCACCAAACTTTACTGTTGGCTCTGCATTCCAGTAGGTAACGTTCTCCTGGCATCCACCAAACCCAGACTCATCCAGCAGACTGACAGTAAAGCGTGATTTGTCACTGTAGAGAACACGTTTCCACTGCTCCAGAGTCCAGCGGCGGCGCTTTACACCACTCCAGCCGACGCTTGGCATTGCGCATAGTGATCTTAGGCTTGTGTGCAGCTGATTGACCATGGAAATCCATTTCATGAAGCACCCAATACACAGTTTTTGTGTTTGTGTTGTGTACCACTTTGTGGCTGAGCTGTTGTTGCTCCTGGATGCTTGTATTTCACAATAATAGCACTTACAGTTGTCTAGGGCAGATCTAGCAGGGCAGAAATTTCACAGACTGAACTAACCCTAACCCTGGACTTGTGGCAAATTTGGCATCCTATGAAAATGCCATGTTGAAAGTTACTAAGCTCAGAATTTGCAGAAAATATCTTATGAATTTTTATATGTAATGCTGACAGTGGTAAAACAGTGTGAATTTTAGTGTGAATACACATTCGTTTGGGACTGCCGTCTTTCAGCGTCCTGCACGTACATCCCCAGCATGAATATATTTCCAAAAATATGTTTTTTTGACCAAAAGCTCAACACAGAACTATCGTAAAATAATGTCTCCAGCACCAGCCACCATATGCAAAACCATTTTACGCAATATTTTTGTGCGAGGTAGATTTTAGAGCCATTAAACTCTTCAGACGTCTGTAACGAGGACAACACGAGCATGGTAGCTTGATCACGTGGTCACATTAATGTTGACGTTAGAACGGTAGTTGTTTCCCACTAAATGTTATGCAGTGATTCTAAACTCCAACCTAAATTCATTCCATTGAATGATTTCTACCGGTGTTCTGTAAAGCTTGTCCAAATCTCTCAACAGCTGCAGTGAACGAACTCATTTGTCTGTAAGGAGGAGTTTATAAACTTATCAACAATGAAAACTTAAATGCCTACACCTTAAAACAGTACTGCACATAGATATTCCATTTACTTCTTGCAGTCATCATCTTTGTCCATTCAGGTTGCCATGGAGAGTCACATAAATGCCTCTAATTATGCTGGTTAAACTGCATGACCTTACAGGTTCAGCTGTTTGAAATGACAGGATGTTCAACAGACCTGCCTGCTTTAAAAAGTCTTTAAAATAAAAAGAACAACTTATTAACCTTCATAACACTGTGGTCTGTTTTTTTTTTTTCCCCAGTGGCCAGCATCCAGAGGCTCCCTGCAGTGTCCGTGATGACCGATATTAACTTCCCCATGAAGGGACGGAAGGGCATGGTGGACTGGGCCAGAAACTCTGAGGACAAAGTGGTCGTACCTAAAGGCATTTTCCTCCCCCAGACTGCAGGTACGCACACGAGAGGAGCTACAGCATCACTCGTTCCCTCCCCCTCTACTGTAACGTTACGTCTAATTCATTTGACGCTGACGGGGTCCTTAGCTGATCCGGATAAGCCTGTCGGAAATGTTATTTTGGCTTTCCTAACAGGATTTGAAGCACATTCACATAATTTGATACACTGCCAGAGGAGCTGATCGTGTGCTGCATCAATTATAACACAGTTTCCCACATCGTTTGAGCGCACCGGCTGCCCTTCACATTCTGTTCAAATTTCATGATGAATGGACCGACAGAAGCGCTTCAGAGCACGTGGAATAAAATCTTTTCACGTTAACTTACATTAAAAAAAACTTTGCTTACCATTTTTGTAGATATATTTTAATTTGGACTGCGGCGATATACACGTTCTAGCGACTTTATTAACGCAGTGACCCTCCGTGTTTACAGTTAGCTCATCTTTTTGCATTAGTCATCCTCCTGCCCTTCATCAGTGGTCAGTTTCTGTTCACATGAGCACTGTTGGCTGGATATTCCTGGCTGGTGGACTGTTCTCAGCCCAGAATTGAGACTGTCAGATTGTCTGCTATGACTAATTCACTCAAAGCCCACAGTATGATATCTGAATCTCCCTATGAGCCGTGTTTGCTCTGCTTTTATTAAATCAGAGTCCTTGATGATATTGAATCAGCGAGAGGTGGCCGACACTAGGTGAAGGGTTCTAGAGCGTCAGATTGCTTCGATGCTAAGCACATGACTCAGCCAACATGAAAGTCACTGAATATTCTCCCAGAATTCCTTGTGCAATTCATACGGAGGTTTGAGGCCCAGCAGGACGTGGGGAGTCATTCTGCTTTCTCACTTAGGCTTCAATACAGATTAAAAAGACAAGGGTTTAGGCCTGGTCCCTCGTGACTTTTTGGCGTAACTTTAAGACCCTTACACCAACTGGCCATTAGCTGCATTTTCACTAAGACCACTGGGAGAACAGGTAAAGTCAAACTGTAGGCCTTTTCCAGGCTATGATAACTGCTTTAAACAAGCTAGTGTGCAGCTGCACTTACAACAGCTAATATACAGGGTGATTCAAAAAGATTCATCCAATTTCAAAATGATTGATTTCTCTTGTAAATCATTACAGATCAATGCAGTGAACTGTAAATGGTTTAAATCAGCATAAAGTTTATTATGTAATTGTAGAAGGTCTCAGTCTGAACCTCCTCCAGCTGTACAGACAACATCAACACCACAGTCAAACTCATCCCATACTGGATTGAGCATGTCGGGTGTCGCTGCACTCTCGGCTCTTTCAGTGCGATTTCGGAGATCATCCAGTGTTGTGGAACCAACGCCGAACGCTCTGAGCTGTTGGAGCTTCACTGCCCACGAAAATCACACTGCACAGTTATGACGGATTCACTCTTATTGAAGTGGAGAACACAGAACGCTTTCTGCTCAGGGGTCTCATCTCCTCTCAGACTGAAGGGAGCCAGTCAGAAACTCTATGACCCCCTCTTTTAGTTGGATTGTGATTGGTTCCTCGGCGCCTCACGGTTGTAGAAATATGGCGCTTTGAAATCGGATTAATCTTTTTGAATCACCCTGTCATAACTTGCGTGTATTGGCTGTACGTGATTAGCTACAAACAAGCGAACAGCAGACACATCAGTTCATTCAGAATGATGTTAAGTTAAGAAAAAGCTGATATTTGCAAATATTCCCAAACATTTTAATGCTAGTTAAATCCAAAGTACATAGTTGTTTCATTTATATAGGGTCAGAGCAATGGCGCTGTCAAGGGGGTGCCAGGGGAGACATGGCTACCTTTAACCAATCGTTGGTCCCCCTAGTGCCCCCCCTACCCTGGCAAACATCCCCCCACCCCTTCGCACTTTCATGTTTGCCTTTAAGGGGAGAGCAGCTTGGCAGAACAACTTGTCCTTTTGAAATTATAAGGTTTGTCTGACATTTTTGTCAAAATTCACAGGTTCTTATTCTGAGAGAACCTTTTAACATTTATGTGAGATGTGTGCATTTTTGGACTCATCATCATCATCATCATCATCATCGTTAACCGCTTAGTTCAGGTCGCGGTAGCAGTTGGGAGAGCAGAGAATCCCAGCCGACCCTGTCCCCCGCAACTTCCTCCAGCTCATTCCCGGGGACCCCAAGCCGCTCCCAGGCCAACTTGGAGATATAATCCCTCCAGCGGGTCCTAGGACGACCCCGGGGTCTTATTCCGGTAGGCCGTGCCTGGTACACCCCCACCGGGAGGCGTCCCGGGGGCATCCGGATCAGATGCCCGAACCACCTCAGCTGGCTCCTCTCAATGCGGAGGAGTAGCGGCTCTACTCCGAGCTCCTCCCGGATGGCCGAGCTCCTCACCCCATCAAATAGAGTGCAGCCCGCCACCCTGCGAAGAAAGCTCATTTCCGCTGCTTGTATTCGCGATCTCGTTCTTTCGGTCATTACCCACAGCTCATGACCACAGGTGAGGGTCGGGATGTAGACCGACCGGTAAACAGAGAGCTTCGCCTTACGGCTCAGCTCCCTCTTCACCACTACAGTCCGGTACAGCGACCGCATTACTGCTGCCGCTTGTCCCAGCCTGCGGTCGATCTCACGATCCTTCTTCCCATCACTCGTGAACAAGACCCCGAGATACTTAAACTCCTCCACCTGGGGCAAGTCCTTTCCCCCTACCTGGAGTGGGCATACCATCCTTTTCCAGGCTTTTTGGACTCTTTATCTAAAAAACTAAAAGCTTCTGTATCCAAAGTCAAACTCTAACTTAGTTCTATAAGGTTCTGTCTGTGAGCCAATCAGCACTTCGAATACACACAAGAGGACTAATCAGGTTCTGCTTCTTTGTCGTGTCGCCGATCTTCTCAGTGACGGCGGGAAAAGTTTATAAACTTTATGAAAGATGAAAACATGTTGCTGAAACTCTGCCTGTCGTCTTACAGCTCTTTAAAAAGTCTTACTGTCTTAAATTTTATAAATATTAAGCCTTAAAGGTCAATAAATAGTGAACGTTTGAACTGATGCGTCTTAATTACAACATAAACATTCATTCATCTTTTCTTTTTCTTCTTTCTCCCAAAATAAGACATTTCCGCTCATTAGAGTCTCATTTCTGATATAAAACTAAACATCACAGCCTTTAGACTGACCGGCTACACTGACCTGCTGGGACAGTTTAGTACAGTAGCTGTTTCTGTCTGACTAAAGGAAACTGAAACTAATGGCTCCTAAAACTGACCTCTGCACCGGGCAGGATATTAAGCACTGACCTTTATACTTAATCTGCTATGCTTTTTTTTTTTAAATAAGAAAAAGATTATTTGTCCTAAAACAAGACATAAATGTCATTAAAAAAAGAAATAATACAAATAAATGTCATAGAATTTAATATTCTGATCATGTAAACACTGTTATTCTAATTTAAAGTATGAGCTCAAATCTTTGCTTCTTGTAATGTTTCCCAGATAGAACCTTTTAACTCCAGTCACAAAGTGAGTTCTCAGGATCAGAAGGTTCTCTCTGCATTTGACCTGTTTCAAAACACTAATTTACAAATCTAATAGGATGTTGATATATAGATTTTGATATTATAATTATTATTATTATTATTATTATACATTAAGAATACATTAATTGTGTCTTAATGCCTTTTCATGTCTAAAGAGACGTGTTCCACACATCAGTTCTGCTATCTGGAATGCAAAATCTTTGAAGCTCAATATCTCAAAACAGCTCAGAACACAGACAGAACCTTATAATTCCAAGGGGGCGAACTGTCCAACCTCTCTGACACTCGATGGCCCCTCTCCTTCTGTTCGTACTTTCGCATCGCGATGACGTCTCGTCTGTCGGAGAGCTATTTACGTATCGGCGATCAGCCAAACAACTTCCTAACCTCTCAACATGCCCCCCCACCCGCTCGCACAGTCTGAACATCCCACCTGCTCGCACAGTCTGAACATCCCACCTGCTCGCACAGTCGCATTGCCGCCCTGCTAAACTCTGTGTCACCCCTTTGCCACCCCTGGAGGCCACTGGGTCAGAGATGTTTCTACATGAAGGTGCAGCACTAAAACTGGTCTGGGTCGGCTCAGTTAGGCGTCACCTTGGTTGTTGTAACCGGTGTAAAATCCTCTGAAAGGTACGACTGGCTTAGCAGTTAAGACCTGCTGGTGTGCCCGGACCCCAGGGACCAGGAGGTCGAATCCCGCCAGCATCTCAGCTCTATATGGTTGAGAGTCGTAGCCTGTGGGTGGGAAGTACACTCTTAGAAATAAAGGCACTGAACTGTCACTGGGGTGGAACCCCTGAGGGTCCATCTCAGTACCTTCAGTCAGGGAACATAACTGAACCATAATCCACTGAAATGATATGTTCTAAGCTGTACTGACTCCACACACCCCGTCTCGTCTCCAGGCTTTTATTTTACTGTTCTGTTTAAAACATTTGGTTATGAAAAGGTACAAATACGAACTTTTCACCTGGATAAACTTATTTAAGGTTCACAATCAGACCTTAAAACCACTGTTGGAGCTTTAAGGGGAACATTTACACTGATTGTACCTTGATGAACGAAAAACGTACCTGAACAGAACCTTTATTTCTTACAGTGTAGTAACTGACTGAACTGAGGGGAGAAAAAAAAACAAAAAAAAGGAAGAAATTTCAGCACAGAAGATGAAACAGATTCACTGTTTTATCTCTTATCAACTTAAACTGTTTTTTGTAGACGTAACCAAAAATGTACGTTAGGAAAGTAAAGTAAGTTGAGAGAATGATAAAAAGGCTTGGCAGAAAGTTGACTTAAAATGTAAAGTTTACAGAGATGATGTTGCCCATTTTAATGCACAATTGCTGTATAAAAAAAACATAAAGTCTGGCTTGTGCAAAAGTTATGCCATTTTTTTCCAAATTGATTTAGCAAAAAAATAGAAATTGTGCACTTAAATTAAAAAGCAGCATATTTAAGTGAGGTCTCTGGGTCT